CCCTTTTTGTGCAGTTGCCGTCTGATCTCAATTGTTATGAGCTGCTTATGCTTTGCATTATTGGATCTTCCTACTTGATAGGCTCAAAAGTGCCGCAACTTTGACATTCAGTTGGTATTAGTTTGGAGAAAGAGTAAAAATTTACTTGATAGTGGCCATATTTACTTGATGGGTGGCATTTTATTTTGGCTTTGATCTCGGCAAATCAATTCAGCCCCACTTATTTTTATTCTTTATCTTTCTCGGCCCGTATCTGATAAGAACAGGAAATGCTTGATCCGACGCTGATGGCGCGGATTGGTAACGGGGGTAGGATGCAACTTCGGTTGTGCCACTCCCGGCACTCGATGATGACATTGTTCTGAGAGTGTCGAAAAACTTCTAACCTTTTCTGGACTGTCTGTTCTCTTTTGATGTGCAGGTTAGCTGAGGATTCATGGAGAAGTTCAAATACGACATGAAGACCTTTAGATACTTTTAGGATTTAGGATAGATGCTTTAATGTAATCCCTTAGGATTTGAGAATTTTAATGTACTTCCTTGTAACAGTACTTTGTAAAATATAAAGCAACACCACTTTCTTGTATGATGACATTATTTATGAAATGAAATTCTCAAAGTTTTGAATTTATTTATATTTTATTCTTAGTTAAAGATATAAACAATTGTGAATAAATCCACAAGTATTTAGATTCATTAACAATAGGCATAAAACATAAATAACCCCAAGTGGTATTTGTGATTCTGATCTCATCATCCGATTAAAATGCTAACCAATTGTTTCATAACCAACACATATGGGCACCGTAGTCACAACATTTTCAGCATCAACAGCAAAACTAATCGTAATTAAACTCCACTGACCAAATGCCAAATCTCAATATGATCAGAACTGGTGATTGATAAATGCCTCAAAACCATAACGCATCAACAGCCCATCTTCAAGGAATTGGTAGAATTTCTGCAAAACAAAACCCCTTCATAACTTGTTAGTGGTTAGCAAATGTACATATGAGGTGCTATGCGAAATGACTGACTAAATGTAAGGGTAAAATTTGGGGTATTACAGACATGTTTGAACCATTTGCAACTCATGTAAGTCTTTTGTCATGTTGTAGAATTATGAATTCTTATTTCCACCTTGATTTTGATACCTTTTTTAAGTGTGTGATCACATGATGTTTGGTTACCATATGTTTTAATATCATGCTTAATTGTTATTAATACCATCTTGTTTCCCTCATGCACCCCAACTTTGTTAAGTTGCTTCTCTCCAAGTGATGTAGCTTGTTAACTTTCATCCTAAAGATTTGTCTTGTGTCCCTTATTCTAATAGAAAGTCTCTCTATTGACTCAATTTCATAGATAACTCATTTTTATCTTCACCTCCTTTTGACCTTGTTAGAGTCATTAGGACCTTCAACTTAGAATTAAGTTAGAATCCATTTCCCTTTTGACTTTGTTAAGTCAAAATATTTATCACACCTTCTTAGGAGTCCTACAACTTAGAACTTAGGCCTAGAGTCTGTTAACTTTATGTGTGTACCATTGTTATGGGTACTCACCTTCCCCTTGTTGACTTTTATTAAAGTCAATCCTTAGTTAGTCTTTCAACATAGACTTAGAGAGTTTGTTAACTCTACATAAGTATCATTGTTATGGATACTTATTCCCCTTGGAACCTTGACCACAGTCAAGAGTTCTTCATCCCTAGTTAGGTGAACTACAAATGCTCTAATTCTTTTCCTAGTTAGGATACGTAGGCACGAGATGCAATGTCTTGGCGAGCATACTTAGTGTGTATACTCTAGGTCTTTACCTTAACATAATTCCCTTAGTAAGCAAACTTTAACATGACACAAATACTAACAAGAGGTTCCTGTAGAGTACCATAGATACTTAGGATGCTAACACCTTCCCTAGGTATAACTAACCCCCGAACCTTAGATTTTAACTGTGTTGTTATATAACACACTTAGGGTTTTCTTCGATCTTTACCCTTTCCTTTGGACAAATCAAAGCTCGGTGGTGAATTTCATAGATCAGAGAGCCATGGTCACATTATTTCATGACATGATGCACAAAGAAATCAAAGTGTATGTTGATGACATGATCGCCAAATCGCAGAGTGAAGAAGACCATTTGGATCATCTATTGAAGTTGTTTAAGAGGCTTAGGAAATATCAGTTAAGGTTGAATCCTGCCAAGACCATTTGGTTGTTTCCTTTGTTTTTATTTGTATATATGGACATGTTTGAACCATTTGCAACTCATGTAAGTCTTTTGTCATGTTGTAGAATTATGAATTATTATTTCCACCTTGATTTTGATACCTTTTTTAAGTGTGTGATCACATGATGTTTGGTTACCATATGTTTTAATATCATGCTTAATTGTTATTAATACCATCTTGTTTCCCTCATGCACCCCAACTTTGTTAAGTTGCTTCTCTCCAAGTGATGTAGCTTGTTAGCTTTCATCCTAAAGACTTGTCTTGTGTCCCTTATTCTAATAGAAAGTCTCTCTCTATTGACTCAATTTCATAGATAACTCATTTTTATCTTCACCTCCTTTTGACCTTGTTAGAGTCATTAGGACCTTCAACTTAGAATTAAGTTAGAATCCATTTCCCTTTTGACTTTGTTAAGTCAAAATATTTAGCACACCTTGTTAGGAGTCCTACAACTTAGAACTTAGGCCTAGAGTCTGTTAACTCTATGTGTGTACCATTGTTATGGGTACTCACCTTCCCCTTGTTGACTTTTGTTAAAGTCAATCCTTAGTTAGTCTTTCAACATAGACTTAGAGAGTTTGTTAACTCTACATAGGTATCATTGTTATGGATACTTATTCCCCTTGGAACCTTGACCACAGTCAAGAGTTCTTCATCCCTAGTTAGGTGAACTACAAATGCTCTAATTCTTTTCCTAGTTAGGATACGTAGGCACGAGATGCAATGTCTTGGCGAACATACTTAGTGTGTATACCCTAGGTCTTTACCTTAACATAATTCCCTTAGCAAGCAAACTTTAGCATGACACAAATACTAACAAGAGGTTCCCGTAGAGTACCATAGATACTTAGGATGCTAACACCTTCCCTAGGTATAACTAACCCCCGAACCTTAGATTTTAGCTGTGTTGTTATATAACACACTTAGGGTTTTCTTCGATCTTTACCCTTTCCTTTGGACAAATCAAAGCTCGGTGGTGAATTTCATAGATTTGTGATTCAAGTTAATTAATAGCTTGATATCCGATTCTCATCGCAACAATATTGTTTGCAAAATACTTAAAAAGAAGGGTCACAAGTCTACACATTTTCACCGACTTTAGTACCAACCACCATTCTACAAGAACCAATTCAGAAAACACCCATTAAGTAAAAATACACTCAAACTGAATCGAACATTTAATGAGTATCAACGCTCCATACACTAATATTAGTAATCTGTGTGAAACCTAAAAGAAATTATAAAAGCATTCTTAATATTAAAAATTAATAATGAAACATTTAACATGAAAATTTTGAAACTTAAAGAAGTTTGAAAAAGTTCTCTATGATGGATTGCAAGAGCAAAAATTTATTTGGGTTCAAGCTTTTTATTCTTAAATAATCATATAACTGAATATTTATTTTATTTATCTAACTTTTTTTTGTTTTATATTAGAAATAAATGCATGAAATATCCAACATTTGATTTTCCGCAAAATTCAATGAAACTAAGATCCAACATTTGTTCTTCATCGACAGTAATGATGATGAATCATATTCAAAATTTGTTATATATTTTTACTTTAATATTCTGTGTAAACAATGTAGTCTGTAAATAAATTAATTTATTAATACTCTGTATAAACGATATAATGAGTAATTTAAAAAAATATCTTTTTCTTGGTTTTGGTTATAAACCAAGAGGTATGTGACACTAGTTTTGAAAATATAAAAAAACAATTGTTGGAGATCAAATCAACGACCATTTTAATTATCTCATCGGTTATTCTAAAATTTAAGGATATATTAGAGAGTTTTCATAACGGTCTTCGTTACTCCGCCTTTGTAATTGAGGTTAAATCAATTTCGCATTTGAGGTTAAATATATATTTTTATAATAGTGCAATTATGTTTGTTTCACAAAATGTATTCAAAATGTGGTAAAAAATTATATTTTAAAAAACAATAATTTCCCCTTTGTTAAAAGCTCATATGGAGGAGAAAAGTTGGAAGCTTTGCTACTTGTCAACCCAGTTGTCCAAGCAAAGAAAATAGCAAAGTTCTCATTACAAAGTGACATTTTGAAAATGTTGTGGCTAGAAATCGAATTCCATTTACTCTTCACTTCGGTTGGCAGTGGCTCGGGAGAGTAGTGCACTTTTCATATTATCTTAAATCATCTCAACCATCCAACTGAGATAAAATCATTTTTTTAATCGAAAGCAATATGATTTTTGTAGTAGTGAATATTATTTTTACCCAAATATTAAATGAAAGCTGTGTTTTTTTTCTTCTAATAAATAGAAATTGTAATATTTAGTAGAAAGTAATTATATTAATTAATAAATTACTTGAAAATGCATAAGAATATATTATATTACAATAATTTTATTTATATTTTAATAATATTTTTAATTAATTTATAAATATTTTATTTCTATATTATTCTATGAAACAAGTTGATGTTTTAATAATAAGTTGATGTTTTGATTCATTTTAGAAGAAATTATCAATATTATTCTATGAATACTTTATACACCAAATAGTTTAATATTTTTACAATAACAATTAATTAGCAATATCGTAAGAATGCAATGTATGATATACAATGAGAGAGGAAGAAATTGAAAATTCATATCATCCTTATCACATCTTAATAGTTATACAAAAGAGACAAATTACACTACATTCACACCTGTAATAAAAACATAATAAAAGACATTATTCAAGTACAAACTAAACTCAATGGTTTCAATTCGCATGGTAATACAACAAAACAAACACCTCTATAAAAGAACACCCTTAACACTTGGTGGTGGAACCTTCTTCCAAATAACTTTAACAAGATCAATGAATAACGGAAACTGCACAGCTGCATAGAATGTGACAGGTAGGCAAATGGAAATATATAAATAGAACAAGATACTTCCCTTTGTATATTTATCTGTGAGCACAAAGAAATGTCCAGCACAGAAAGAAACAAACATAGCAACAATGGATACGAAGAGAGAACACAGACCAAAAAGAAGCTTCATTGGCAAGTTTCGACGAAAGTCTTCAACTTCTTTTCGAGAAGTGAGTATAGCAAGGAACATGATGAGTGCAGTGACAGAGAAGTAAAGTCCAATTAATGAAGATATAGCGAATCCTTCAAATGCAGGTTGTCCTTTTAACGCAGGTTCTCCTGTTTGCTGATTGCCACCCGGTACACTGCCTGATGTCGCAAAGGAGACACCAGCAATGAGAGCTGCTACAACTGAGCATGACTCCGCTGTGTCTTTCAACCATTCAACACTGTTTTGTAGAAGTACTTTGTGTTGCTCCTTAAAGATTTCACTTGGAGTTTTTCCTTCTTTGTTGCCTTTATTATTGAAATGCTCTGGTACTAGTCCTTTGATGTACTATACCAAAAACATATATGTTAATACTAATTTAAAAAAATGTGACATATAATGATGTAGTGATAAGTAATACTTAAGAATCCTATTTAGCCAAGATATAATCATGACAAATGTATTATGAACCCTATTTAACCACATATTAACCGTGTTAAATTTGTGGCCATGCGGGCTGTACTTAGCACACATTGCACATCATTAAAGAAAACCCTAATTAAACTATAAACGTACCTTATACCACTTGATGTCCCACATCATTTGCATGACAACACCAGATATCCTCCAAGTATTTTCTCTTTCAAATGATGTATATGCTGCCAAGTGTAACACAGTATTCTGGTTTTTATCAACTTGTAGAACTAGGTGATTAACGACTCCACTAGGTAAAGTCTTCTGCATCCATTGAATAACATGTGGTTGTCTATTCTTTACTGCCAAAAGCAATGCATTTTCATCGTTAGAGTTAGTCTCATAGATCACACTTTTTATGCTTGATTGAAGATCTGACATCATCTCAACTATTCCATGACTTGCTGAAATCAAATATGATGTGTCCTTTACATCACTCTTCACTTCTATTTTAATATTCTTCATTGCTACAAGTAATAAACCTTTCTTATCAGATGTAACCGGTACTTTAGAATTAAGCTCTTCCATAATTTCTACTATGCCACTTTTTGCTACTGACAAAAATGTCGTATCTTTTCCATCAACATTTGTTGAATCATCCATTTTTTTATTTTCTTTTGTCTCTTGCTTTGAGGTATCACCTGAATATATACAAATAATGATTATTTCATCTTTACATTTTAATGATATCAGTATCTTGTTTAATTTTTTTGTACTTATTCTTATTTACCTTCTTCCATTTTGCTCTTAAGAAATTTAGAAATATTTTCCATTTCAAAATCACGTTCTAAGTTGTCAAGATCTGGTTTAACCCCACCACCTATGTATGACCCAATAGGTGTTTTCATAAATTCTTCCAAGAGCTGGCCACCATATATGTGATTCTTCTTGATAGTCTTTATTGCCTCTAAGTCTACAAAATTAATGAAGCAAAATAACACTTCTTGATAAATATAGACGCAAATCAAAGCATGTAAAATTAAAGTTAGAAGAGTCCAATATACATACCCAATAGTGACAGGATTGGCCATCTGAATACAAACTTTTGAATGTTGTGACAGGATTGAGCAAAAGAATGTCTTATTTTGTATGCCTTTTCTAATTTATCAACATCGTATATTTCTATTGCACTATAGTCACCTTTCACTACAATATTAATATAGGTCTTTAGTATATAATAATGAAAAAGTGATCATAAGAGATAGTTCATAGAAAACATACCGTTGTTTTGAAGCAATTCCATTGTAGTCTTTGCGTCGCGGCGGCTTATAGTAAAACCTTTGACACCAAAATTTTGTAAACAATATTAAATATGTTTTCAATACATTTGACAGAAAAGTAAAAATAATGCAAGAAAATATCCATAAATATGTGTCACTTACAATAGTACAAAATTTGTTTCCACCATGATAGCCTACTTCCACTCTTGAAGGCTGATGTCCTAGTAGCAAGAATTTCAAGAGGAATGATGTCATCATTGTCCTTCATAGAGATGAGTCCTTGGTAGCAATACATTATTATAATTGCCAAACCTGTTGCACAAGATTCATAGGTTATTATTATTGACAAAATGTAATGTTCCATATTATTTTCAATGGTATAATTAAAAACTAACCAAACATTTCACTCTGAATGGCAACATGAAGGATGCTAGTATTATTGTTATCAATAGCAATATTGATATCAGTAGGAAAAAACTGTTGTAGGTAAACAAACACTAATCCTTTACGTGCACGCACAGCCCAAAAAAGTGGTGTTTCTCCATTTTCATTTTTCTCTTGAATCAAATACTTCCTTTCACCTTTTTTTCCAATTATATTTTCACACATATCTGTGAATCCTCTATATGCTGCAAGGTGAAGAGGAGTTGCACCTCGTTTATTCAACTCTCTCAAACTAGTTTCATCCTTAAGATCTAATATTGCTTCTACAAGACTCTTGACTACATCTTTGCGTCCACTGCTTACTGCCACATGCAATGCTGATCCTCTTCCCTGGATTTCTATCTTGTGAAACTTATTATGTTGTTTGTATTTTTCAATCACTATATCCCATTTCTCTTCCAATACTAGCTCCCAGAACTCAGCTGCATAATTTCATTTTGCAACATGTGTTAATTAATAACAAAATGTGGACAAGATATTGAGTGTTAATATATAAGGAAACTTTATACTTACGTTCGTGATGTGGAGAAGCTATATCCATTCTTAAAGATTGAAATATAGAATGAAAGTAGGTGGTGTTGCTGCAAGGTACTAGTGGATAGCCTAGTACTCTTATTTAAGAAAATAAATGAAGTGTGTAAGAAACATATAATATGATGACAAAAGCAAAGTGCAATATGTTTATTGCTGAGTGAGACTCAAGCTTAAGCAAAAGCTACATATCTTCTTTCATTCTTTTTGGTCTAAAGTAAAAGCTACCTTCTATTTTTACTTTGGCCTAATATAAGATATCTAATATCACGTCGTTTAGAATCCATTCTCTCACTCTTAACCAATTAAAAATCAAATTCCATACTTTTAAAGTTTTTGTATAAAAAAAACAAATTACTACAAGTAGCAATATCGTTTAAATGTGTGTGTGTTAAACTTTGATTTTCATTTTTCAAGTCAATTAGTAATATTTTATTCCTTTCTTCAATTTTGTTTTTAATCGTTGCAACATTTGGAGTGAGTGAGACATATGATATGATGAGAAAAGCAAAGTGCAATATGTTTACAATATGTTCATTTCTGAGTGAGCCTCAAGTTTAAGCAAAAGCTATGTACCTTCTTTTATTATATATATTTTTTTTACTTTAGCCTAGTAGAAGGCTTGTGTGTAGAATCTTACAATATGAGGCACAAAACAGAAATTTTATACAGTATAGACACGAACCCTTCCTTGATTTTTCTCATATAATTTTGTTAAGCAAATTTATTGAAATGAGCACAAGGATACTCCAAATTTACCATATAAGAACCTTCTATCCTCTAGAAAGTACCTCACTACCATTGCTTCTCTACCCTACACAATGCCCTTTTAACATCACTTCATCTAATTTCTTGCCCTCATTATTATTTTCTAACACATCGTTATATTGAAACCATATGATTTAATGCCTCTCTTCACATCATTGCTGCTTTATCAAACTATAGTACTCACTTCTGTTAGAACACAGATTGGTGTTTCTTATATCTCTATGTTTTGATGATAACTTTTATGGAATTTTGTAATGAGTAAATATACAATCTAAAATTTGTTCAAGTATTATTGTTTCAGGTATAAAATTAAATACTCTTAAAGAAGCAAAATACATAAGTACAAAGAAACTATACAAAGCTCTGAAGCATCAGATGCAAGACTATCAGAAGATTCTGAAGCGTTGCCAGAAGGATCTGAAGCAGAAGCTACAAAATGATCTGAAGCGTTAATGAAAGAAGTATACAAAAGCTGAAAGCTCTGATCGTATCAGACTCTGAAGTTCTTTTCACTACAAACTCAAAGGCTTTAATAACTAGACTCTTATCATTAATATTCACGCTCAAAGCACATACTGTTGCATTCTCTGATGAAGATCTGATCAAGACTGAGACTCTGATACATTAAAGATCTGATCATCTATCAAGACTCTGAACTTATCATTCATCTTAAAGCTCTGATCATCTTAAAGCATTCCATACCTTTTAAAGCTTACCACAAGTTTTGAAGTGCAGATCATGAAGACTTCATATTGAAGAAAGCTTGTTGAAGAAGCTGTAAACTTGATTAGACGTGGTGCTACTTCCAAAGTAACCAACGACTAATTTGTCCAAAGAAGTGACGTGGTGCAAATCCCAAGGCTTCTACAACCATACCTTTCTGCAGAAAGCATATCTCTGCCCATACCTTTGGTGATGAAAAGTCATACAATCAAATATTATATTAAGCTACACATCACTCAAAGCATTTGAAAAAGCTATAAAAGGAGAACTACTTCAACATTTTGAGGTTGTTAATTCACTACTCATCTTTTGCTCATTGCTAGATCCCTCAGAAAGAAATACACATTTGATTCATCCAAAGAGAAAATCTCTCAAGATCTTACTCATTTGATCTTTCATAAAACCATATAGTTTTTGTTGTACTTAATCTTAAGTGTAAACATCACAGTTGTGATACAGCTTATTAGAAGCATTCAAACACTTGTTAGTTTACATTAAATTGTAAGAAGTTCCTTAAGAAGACCAAGGTGTGGTCAGTAGTTCTTGAGAAGACTAAGACAGTTGTTTGTTAGAACAGTGGTTAAGTGTCGGGTTTATATTATCGTCTCCACAGGGAATATCAGATTTTGCTACCGTTCAACAATTGTTAAATTTATAGTTTAGTGGTATCCAAGGGTTTGTGTTTAAGGTAACAAGTATTTTGCATGAAAGGAATAAATGCGATAAAAGTTAGGTTTTAACGGTTTGAATAAAGATTGTCAAAGTTAGGTTTTGGTAATCACTTTGCATGTATACTTACGATCAACATTTAATAAACTCTTTCAAATGATCAATGTATTCACAATATCCTCTCAATATGATTATCTCTAACTCATATTGTGAAGTTTATCATTTTAATCCATTGTTGATCTCTCACACAATCTATCAAAATGACAACTTTAAAGTTCAACATTTTAAGTGAACAAAATCATCCAAGACTATTTCTAGCTCAAGAAAAGAGATGGGTGAAAACCTAGGTCAAGAGTTGGTAAATATTTCTCAATCATTAACCAACACAAAAGATTATGAATAAAACAAAGTTTTCACCATACATTAATCATTCAAGAGTTTACAAATGAAGATCATCCATACAAATACAAAGTTCAATGATTACCTACATCTATCTTTGACAACAAGATGAACTTAGCTACACATTCTCATGGTAGCTTGCAAAAGAAGTTTTAAAGTCGGTTGATGAACATCCAAGTCGAATGATCCAACTTTGATGATGATCCACCTTGTTGTTGTTTGATTCTGTTAAGAGATGAAGGAAAATAAGCCAAAATAGGTTTTTAGGTCACAAAACCCTTTCTTGCAGCAAAACAAATGTAAAAGTGAAAAAGAAGATGTTCTCCAAAAAGTGGCCCAAGCTACTTATAGTAAGTGACAAATCTGGGCACACTCGCTACTCACTCGCTAGGCGAGCTGCTGGCGAACGCTCGCTACAGCCTCGCCTAGCGAACCTGCCAGCGAGGTCTGCAAGATCCATTCTGTTATGCTTCGCTAGGTGCTCGCTGCAGCGAATGAGCCAACGAAGGGTGCCTGGGACATTCTGTTTTGCTTCGCTAGGTGCTCGCTAGGAGCTCGCCTAGCGAGCCTCTTCACCACTTGCTCGCTGACCAAGATTGATGTTGAAAACCATTCTGCCCAAGTCTGGAGCTGTTCGCTACGTGCTCGCTAGGCGAGGCTGTAGCGAACACTCGCTACTCACTCGCCAAGTTCTCGCTGAGCGAACCAACTTTTGTTATGCTCTTTGCTTGATTCCTTTGCCAACTTTCTTGTGCCTTCAATAATGCTCTTTCACACTTAAATCCTGCACAATAACACACAAATCAAAAGGACCAAAAGCATTTGACACAATGATGCACATTAACAAAAGCAAAGCTTAATAAATACGTTTTCAGTATAAAAAGAAGTGAAAGATGTCCATATTTGATAGCTCCAATAAGCACAATTGGGCATCTAACAACTCTCCCCAACTAGAATCATGCTTGCCCTCAAGCAAAGTATGCCTCTCGAGTAACCAAGAAGATTTGCTTAAAGAGTCAGGTTTTTCCGAGATCGGATCATATGGCTCAAATTGCAAGTGACTTGACCAGACACATGTTTCCAATGGTTAGAAACAAAACAATGCTTCCAGAACTAAAACTTTTAAGCAATACTAAACATTCATCAAATCACAACAATGATATCATGAACGAATCACCCTAACTCTCCTCTTCGAAAAAGGATTGAAGAAAATGTCGCACATGAAAGCGCAGGGGAATTTTCACTCTCCAATAAACAATGTCAAAATCAACTTTATTCATACAATGTCTAACAATTCTACATGAAACTATGGAAGCACGAAGATCACTAAGGTCTATTCCGGTTATAGCTTGGTCGGGTTAACAAACAAGGGACATATCTAAGGCCTTTGAACGAAATTTACGATGCAAAAGAGACATTCACTATACATTTATTTACACCTCTTCAACTTTGTTCCACCAATTCCTTATTTGAACCCTTCACAACTCCCTTTTGTTTTTCACACTTTTTCTACCAAGCAAGCATTTGTTTTCTTGTTTTTCTACACCATAATCACAAAAAAAAAGAGTGTTTCTCTTCTTCTCTTCTTTTTTTTTTTTCTTTTTTTTTTTAGATATATGCTTGCTAGTTTAACAAGAGTTGTGACCAATTACTCTTTACAAATTTGTTCTCCCCAACTTGTCTTTTCTTTTCCCCTAAATGAATGCCCTTTTCTTTTCTTTTTGCATCAGAAGAGCAATTAATCCAAATTTCCAAGGTTTCAAGAAAAAGATTTTTGACACTCGCTTTATTCCAAACAAGGATTCAACTGTTTTAGGCTCAAAATTGGGTTACAAATACTCTCTCTGCTCACGGGTATCTTTATCTTGGGAAATGGTTATGCTCGAGAGAAACAAGTACATTGATCATATCAACTACTTCCACAATTCATAATAATAAAAGACAACGCATGAATAAAATGAATCAACACAATTTATCAGAATCCAGCATTTAAGTACATAATGGAGGTTTCCTCACAATTGATGGTTTAAAAGTCCTAAGTGAATCATTCAATCAATTAAGTTGCAATCGGAAAATATTTTATCACAAAAGGAAGTGAAAGTTCCGCAAGCATTATACAATTCTAACCGAAGGTAACAGTGTACCTTAGCTTTCATCACTTATTTAATTTTATCATCGCCATCCAAGCTCGGATGCACCTTCATTGGATACTTCTTTCAAGAGAGCAACCAATCTAGAAGGTTTGGACAAAAAATCAATCACAAAAATTATTGAACCAAAATAATTGAAAATCAACAGTACTGAAATTAAAGAACTTAAAGAAATAACAATGTGCGTGGGGGACAAAACACCCCAATAGTACAAATCAACATCAAAACACACTAAAACAGAAAACAGAACAAATCACAGATCACATCACTCCTCTCCGTCCTCAGACTCATACTCCGAAGT